CAATGACTCATCATTATTGATCAATGCTGTTTTTTAAATGTACGGATGAAATCAGTCTGTATGAGAAAACAGATTTGAAGTTAAAATTTAGTCAATTTGATTTGATATTGGATATGAATTTGACCTGCTTGTGTTGAATAGTTCATTAAGATGATATTCATTGTGAATTGGTGTGAAATAAATAAACAGAATTGCGTAATCATACTTTGCGACATGCTTAGAGGCTAAATCCCTCGTGGTTTTCTCATCAGCACCATAAGTGCATAGAAACTAAAGCAGATCTAATACACATCAACTATAAAAATGTCTTAATATTTCTCCCATCCTTTCATATTAGATTAATAGAAGCATGTCAGGATTTAATCAAGTGTTGTAGCAGGACGTTCATGGAAAATGTCACCTAAAAATCTGGGCTGTTCCACTGTTAGCCGTCCTTCCTGCTGCTGACCTCGCGTTCAGCTCCGAGCTCTCCTGACCTGAACAGTCCTGAACTTGGAGGAGGATTAAAGCGCAGCAGCTGTAGCTGTAACAGGCAGTTCAACAGTTCAAATCCAGGATCATCTGAGGGGAACCGGGGTGCGAGAAACGAATCGGTACTAATCTACCCAGACCTCTCCTGAGCAATGCAGCTGACATGCAGTTTTATACCAACTTTCTTTATTATTTTTTTTAGCAACAAATTAAGCATTCAGTTTAGGATAAATGGCCCAAAAATAGTTTCTCTTGAAAAAAATAAACCCTGCATTAGTTTATTTACTAAACATCTGCATGCAAACAAAACATCTGGGTCATTTTACATGACTTCTTTTACTGGATACACAATTTCATGGAAAGGTGAGCTTGATGTGAGCTTCTTACTGCTCTTAATAGCCTCTGAGTGAGACGTTACTGCTAAATAAAAGGGAATTTGTGATTGCCTGAGCTGCCATCGCGCTGCGTTATGTCGAACATGAATCTGTGGCTGCTCGCTGAGCTCATTTTACAGCCCGGCAAGCGCCTTATTTGTTTACCCTAAATGTGTTATGGTTGCAAAACACACAACGGCTCCTTTTGATGAAAACAAATCAATTTCAACCCATTAGATCGGGTTTAAAGCATGGAAGAAATATTAAATAAAAATGTTAACAGTGCGAATACCTCTGCTTGGAATGTTTGGGAGATTTATTTAGAGGCAGGACAAAGGTGTTTGTGTTGGCATGAAAAGGACAGCCTCTATACCCTCTCCTCCATTTTTCTTCCAACAGAAAGCAGAAATATGTTAAATATGCAGCAGTGTGACCTTCGTACATAGATCAGGGTTTATTTTTAGGAAAAGGTGCCTCCCTCCCTTGCGCCACCCTCCTTTTTTTCATTATCTATATCAGGGCTGGCATGTGCAGAGATAATGGCTGAACATCTGGCTTCCACTCACTAGCAGGGTGTGGATAGGTGTCTTGTTTGAAGAGCTTCATGGCCAAAAAAGGCAATCATAAAACCTAACTCTATCAAGATGTGAATGCCTCATTTAGGAGAAACTTAGCTTTGGGTAATGGTGACACAAATCGGGGAAGCAAAGGCACCCTTCACCAATCAAACTAATAAAATAAGGTTTCTACCTTGGAGCAGATTGAAGTTTTAGGTCTGTTTTTGCAGCATGAAATTACATTTCCAGTAATGAACGCCTATAGCAAATTTAAATCGGAGCCTGGGGTAAAAACAGCAGAATGTAAAATGATTGAAAATCCTGCATTATTACTAAACAGAGTGTTATATCAGCACATAGCTTCTAATAGCATAGTGTGTTATTATTGCTAAAACCTGCTAATCTGGGATCAGTATTCTAGATACCTTCAGGAGAGCAGAACAGTGCATTATCTGTGTGAATAAGTAATTAAAAATATGTTTGCATTTAGGCGGCTCAGTGGAGCAGTGGGTAGGGCTCCCGCCTTGCAGCAAGAAGGTTCTGGGTTTGATTTCTGTATGGAGTTTTCATGTTCTCCCTGTGCTTCCCCCTCACAGTCCAAAAAACAAAACTGTTAGGTTAATTGGCTTCTCTAAATTCTCCTTAGGTGTGAGTATGTGTGCATGAATGGTTGTTTGCTTTTAGACACATGCTGTTAATAATCCATGGAATGCAATATGGTCTATTTTATTCATTTGCAGCAATAATTCCAAAATAATGTATTAATCTCAAAGGGAAATTCACTCATATGTTATTTTTTTAAACAGGTATTGTAGGTGTTGATAGCTGTAGGCAGGATGTATCTTCTGTAGCAGTCTGTCTTGCACCTGATCTGGAGAAGCCTCTGACTGAAGACACACTTCCCTTACCAAAAAGTAGTTTATTCATTTATACTAAAAGTGCACTAATGTCATACTTAAAATCAGGCTGTGCACTTAGAGTTTACTTATTCTAAACTATATTTCATATACTTAACAATAGTATAGTCAAGTGTATGCTCACTGTCGTCCATCATTTTCTTCACTCTATGAAGAGTTCTTCTTTGTGAAATAATCTCCAGAGGTTCTAGAGGAGTTCCTAGAACAGAGCTGGCCTTCTTGATTAGCTTCTTAAGCTTTTTTAAGTCATTAGCTCTAATACTGTTACCAGGCTCGAACTGGGAAGGAAGCCAGCAAGACACCCACTCTCACATACAGCGGCGTCACTGACTCATGTTTTTCAGCCCAAAAAATGTTCTTAATCAGCCTGGATATACAAAATCTTACTGCAAATGCTGCAGGACCTAAGCTTCCTTAGGAAGTGTGGTTGGAATGGAATAAGTGATCAATTCTCCTGAAAAAGATTTCGTCCTGCTTAAAGTGTTAATGGGAGCATGTCACCATTGATCCATTTGTGAGGTCAGAAAATGATGTTGTATTTCAAGATGATACTCCTGTAGTTAATCCCAAAGGAGTCTGTGAAGCCCAGTCTGCACCAAATCATCTCATCTATGTCTTTATGGCCATAGCTTTGGGAACTGATATGCAGTCGTTTTGGGGAAAAAGAGGTTGTGCCAAAACAATAAAGTGTACGGCATTGCATCATATAACTGTTTCCAAAGAGCTTAGAGCATTAAATTTAAGATCAACAGTTTATTTCACTGGAACTAATTGACCGGGGTCGATTCTAGAAAACAGCCTCATACTATGATCCCTTCTGCACCAAACCACACTTGATACAATGCAGTCAGGTTTGTGTCTTTTCACAGGCAAATGCCAAACCCAGAGTAGTCCATTTAATTACTCTCCTGCCCAGTGTTGGTGTGGACATCATACTTTCTCCGCACACTCGGTTTTACAAGTAGCTCAAACCAATAATCGTTAGTGCAAACAACACACCCACACTGTCAGACCTCCCACACTGGTGTGTTTGCTGCTGGCTGAGCCTGCAGCTTTACCCTGCTCATAATTTCTACCTGAACACCATCTCTACATGTTAGTAGTGTATCCTACAATTCTGCAAGGTGGACTACCCATGGATCCATTGATCTAAAAAGGTTCAGATTTGGAGAGTGCACTTCTTTTTGCTTTCTACAGCTTCTTCCATCTAATTTTGTGAAACTATGTTGCTCCTTTTAAATTCTTGTTTTGCTCTACCTCCATCTGTCAGTGTAGGTGAATAGCTTTGTTTTGGTGGGATTGTTTTTATGACAATAAAAACGGTGGGTTTAACTTGCTCTGAGATGTTCAAAGTTGTATGTATAGTCTATTTTCCTTTCTCTTGATTGTTAATAGCTTATTAATCCTGTTTGTTCAGAAATGTTCTTAAAGTCGGCTCTTAACTAATTTTATCTTCTACAATGCACTTTTTTTTATGTTGTTCTATATATTGATTTATACACAAAAATTAATGTTACCAGAGTTAGCCACACGGTAACATCTGCAAATTAGTTCACTGGATTTAAATTTAGGAAATCAGTGAAATGGGGGTATAAAAAAAAATGTCTATAGAAAGATAGATAGATAGATAGATAGATAGATAGATACACAGGAAAAATCGAAATCTAGATAAGTCATTTTTTCTTTAAATAAGTGCATTTGTTCTTGAATTGAGGAGGTAAAAGAGACATTTTGCCGATGGAACAAGACAATGTAGATTTAAAATAAGAAAACAAAATTGCATTGTCTTATTTCAAGTGCATATTATCTAATTATCTTATGAGTAAAAATACTCATTCCATTGGCAAAATATCTCATCTACCTACTTAAAATAAGGATAAATACACTTAATTTAAGAAATTCTTACTTACTTGTAAGTCGTTTTTGCTTAGACTATCTAGTGTATTTTTTCTCTTTTTATTCAAGGATGCTTTATTTTCTTGTATTAAACAAACTCCCTGTAAAAAAATCCTCTAAAAAAAATGGTAATTTTCATTAAATACTGTTTTCCTGCTTATAGAGACACTTTTTATTATATTCACATGATACATAATGTTTAATTACATTTTTCTTTAATATGTTTTTAAACCTTTGATAATGTAGTACAATCTTTTAGCTCCTGGTTTGTTCCGTACGTCAACCCCAACAAAAGAAATACAATATTGTTTTATATTTGCTCTTGTTTTGGGTTTTCTGCACATTTTGTACCCTCTAAGATCATAAGCACTGACCCTGGATATTTAGTGGAAACAAATTATTCTTTACTTTGTACACGAATTGAACTGTTTTAAAGTAAAGAAAAAATTGTTTAATGTTTTCAGATAAATAAAAAGTTGGTTTGTATGCTTTCTATAATCTGTTCTATTAACAATTCGAATAGCTCTGCTTTGAATTATGAACAAAGCGTTTAATTTAGTCATATAGGTGTTCCCCCACCCTTCATTGGGTCCGGCAAAACTAAAGATAAGTAAATATTTCTATATAATGTTGGTTATCTGTATATATTTAATATCTACTTTATGTTTAGATGTTTGAAAATACGTTTTCAAGGGCTGAAAGTCGAATTCCTTCAAGTGCGCGCTCCCGCCCTCATGCCTGTGATAGCAGGGTGACGGTTTTCTCCACAACACCGGAAGTGCTACTGTTAGCGCTCGCGGTGTTTCCCTGCAGCGTCTCTGATCTGAGCCGAGCGCGTTCACACCTGGTGGGACGGAGGCGAGCCGTTTGGCGACAGACGCAGGCAGGTGAGTCTCTGTCAGTTTTTAACACACTTTTCAGAGTTTTTACATGTGAGTTCATGATTCTTTAATGGAGACGAACCGAAGCAGAATGACTTAAAAAGTTTTAAAACTTCAAACCTCTTTGAAGAAAGCGCGTTCTTCCATAGGCTTTACTTACGGCAGAAACAAGTTGGCTTGTTAAACGTTTAAAAAACACTTAAGTTTTATTCATAAGGAGGCTGACTTTGTTTTTCTCCAACCTGTCAACAGCTCCAGATTTAATCACTTGAGGAATGTGGTTTCATTAGGAGGACAGTCCAAACCTGGATGTTTGCATTTATTTCAACTTCGGCGTAACTTTCACCAATTTCCAGGTATGGCTACAGGCGGGTTTAAGTCAAACGCAACCACTGACTTTTTGGAGGAGTGGAAGGCGAAACGGGAGAAAATGAGGGCTAAAATGCTGGGGGACATAGCAGCGGCCACTGGGGTCCCCATGAGCCCCAGCAGCAGCAGCAGCAGCAGCCGCGCGCCACCGGGCTCCGAGCCCAGCGCCAACCCGGACCGGAGCGCCTCCGCTGGGAACTGCCGCACCTCCTCCACTACCTCCTCCTCCACCACAGTGGCTCGGTCCCCCTCCAGCGGAGCGCTGAACAGACCGGAGGAAGAAGAAGCGCACCTCCCGGCCGCAGCCCCCACCGCCCAGGGGAGCAACCTGAAGAAGGCCCCGCCTCAGATGGAGAAGGCTCGGTGCGCTTCTCCGGACTCCAGCTCCATGATGGCGTGCAATGACAGCGACAAGGACAGTCCGTCACCATCACCCAGCAAAGGGAAGGAGAAGAAAAGCTCTGGTCCCAGTGCAAGGAAGGGCAAAGGACAGATAGAGAAGAGGAAGTTAAGGGAAAAGAGGAGATCAACAGGTGTAGTCAGCATACCGTCCAATGAGGTGAGTCTGACAAACTCATCTAAACCTGCTTCATCCACCCACCAACACTTCTTCTAATAAGTTTATGCCTGCAAGTAATAATTAATTGATTAATTGATCAATCTGTTGATTATTTTCATCGATAATCAGATTGCAAAATGTTCTTTAATGATAATTTTATACAGAATTTAAACCAGGTTAAGCTTAAACTAGTGGCATGGTTTAGTCTCTATGCTGCAGGGAATCAATTAATTGTTTCAAACCAAAGTTATTTAAAATCTATCTTTTTTTTGTTTGTTTAGAAAAATATAATGTTTTTTTATATTATCAGTTGTTATGTTTTGTAATAATTTTGACAGGAAGAAAGTTTCTATCTATTAGATCTCATCTGTCTTTCAAGTTATTAGTATTTATAACTGCACTGCCTAATAAGCATGCCAGTAAGTTCTACAGAAGCTTTAAATCTTGTCTGAGAAGGGAATAAACACCTGAAACATTCCAGCCACTGAGCAAATAACAGCAAATATGTGGAGGATGGTACCTTAAACACACCAGGGGGAAGTACGGTGATGGGAGTATCATGCTGTGGAATGCTTTTACAGATGCCCAGATTGAGCTATTTTGCATAAAATGTGTGAAATGTTCAGTTTCTAAAGGTGGAAAAGACCCAACCCTAAAATAGTACTGCGGTAGTTAAAATAGTTTCGAGGGTATTTCCCAAATGGAGTAGAATGTAAACACATGCTATTTCTTTCAGCTCAACATTTTGTAGGAAACAGAAAAAAAAAATACTCTAAAAAAGTTTATTAATTTTGTCTTTGTCTCACATGAAAACCCTTAAATTTGTGGTAATGTGACGAAATGCAGAATTCCTTTTAAGGCGCTCTTTGGAACCTCTTCATTTAGTGTGATTTTTGTCACATGTTTTCCAACATTTTAGGAAGTCATGAACGATATTCTCTGAAAGTTTAAGTTCAATATAGAGAACTAAGAATAGGAAAAGTAAATTCAAGCATTTAAGCACTTGAAGCATGTGAGAATTTAAGTGTTTGCCCTTGAAAGTGATGTTTCCAAAGCTGCATTTTTCTACCTTTATGTTGCACAGGATTGGGGGACTGTTTGGGAAAAGTGTTACATAGAAATGTAATTCCTCAGAATGGTGTGTGTAACGCTTTCATAAATGATTTAAAGCAAATAGCAGCTCTTGTTTTCCCCAAAAAAGTCTCCAAATTCCTCTCATACATGTGTCTGGTTTAATCGAGCCTCTGCAGCGGGAAGGGGGGCGGTCTCTGAGAGGGAAGGAGGGGAGTCATGTTTGCATTCATTGTTTTTGAATTTAAATCATGTCGCACTCCTTTGCCTGATTCCTGTGGTTTAGACACATGCAGGAACTCTGATATGGAGCTGAGCCAGTCGACCCAGTGAGGGCCACCACTGTGATTATGTTCTCTAAAAGCACTCGACTTATACACACATTCTGGAAGCATGTGCTTTTTTTCTCACTAAGGTTAGAAGTGCACCATAACCTTCCTATTTTCCATTTGTTCTCACATTTACAACTCACCAATCTGAGCTCTCTGGGTACCTAAATACTGCAGTGTGGTGCTCTGTATCCTATTATCAGATACTCATGAGTAAAAAATGTTGAAGACTTTTAATGCTGGCCTTCAGCAAACAAGCTTTGCCACATATCTTAGATATGTGGTTCCCAACATCAGGGTTTGGAGACTTTGTAGGACAGAAACCATCTTTAGTAAATGTTTTTAAAAACATTCTAGTGATAACAGTTTTATTGTAATTCAAGTAGATCCTTTTTTTTTCTCCAATCTGATAGCGATACCTGCGCTGACCTTATAGGCTGATATCCGATACTTCTCCGATTCAACTGTTGGGTAAATTAACCATATAGCTAGACATGAGAGTGAAAGCTTTAGCCTTGACAAAAACATAGTTTACAATAAAAATAGTGCAATACCATAACAAATTGATAATGAATATAAATCTCATTTAAATTATTTACTATCAAATGAGCAGCAAAAGAAATAACAGTTCAATGTAAAGTGCACTGTATTGGGTATTCGATATCAAAATACAGATATCCTATCCTACAAGTCAGTATAGGATCCCATATCCAATTCAGCTAATTAGTCAATATAGGATCCTATATCCGAAACAGCTAATTAGTTAGCATTGGAGCCGATATCCGACCCAGCTAATTAGTTGATATAGAAGCCGATATCTGATCCAGCTTATTGTTCAATATAGGAGCCGATATCTGATCTAGCTTATTGTTCAATATAGGAGCCGATATCTGATCCAGCTTATTGTTCAATATAGGAGCCGATATCTGATCTAGCTTATTGTTCAATATAGGAGCCGATATCTGATCCAGCTTATTGTTCAATA